CCCACACAGGCGCATGCTCTCTCACACACGCGCGCAGGCACGTGCTCCCACACAGGTGCCTGCCCGGCCCTTCGGCCCCCGGGCCTTCTCCTCTCCCTGGGGTCGGACCGCTCACCCGACCGTGCAAACAAGCTCATACGTCCGACTTCGCTGTGTGTCCACATCTGCACCACCACGTCTGTCCTCCAGCTCGCTCCCGAGGCTGACCCCACTAACACTCGTCCCTGGGACCGTCCGCCCCAAGCTAGCCCCTGACACCCGTCCTTGTTCAGCGTGAATTCCAAGATCCGTCACTCTACCCCTCACCCCCCGGCAGCGCTGCACCAGCCACGCTCAACCGACCCCCCGCCCGCCCGCCGCTAAGTCCCCGGAAACGCACCGCTCGGACGGGCTCGGGTGCCTGCCACGTGGTCCCAGCGGTCGGCCCTGCGGGCCCAGCACTTGTCTCTTATGGAGGCTGAGCTCGGGCCCAAACGCACGCGCGTGCCGTCTCGAGCCTCCTCCCGCCGGCGGACAGAACGGTTGGTGCACACGGCGGGCGCCCCACGTGAAGTCCTCCTTCCCCCAACCGCCTGGCATGCTGAGCTCACCACCAGCTCCAGTCTGTTAAAATAACCGGCCTGTTCACCCTATGACTTCAGTGCTTCGTTCCCACGCATGCAGGGGAATAAAAGAAAGGTTAGTTTATGAGCGCTCCCCCTTAAGCTCAGTCGTAGAACCAACACACTTTGAACAAAGAAGCTATGTTATTGCAAATGAGTATTGCCACAGTCAGCAGCAGGGAATCCTACGTCAGAGACAGTTCGTGCAGCTGGGCCGTGGGAGCCACGCCAGATCTGCCGGATCGGGGAACCGAGCAGAGACCGGTGCATCCATGCACCTGATGGACCGGGTACCAGCCTAGCTGGCAAGGTGACCTTGACGCACGAACTTCTGTGCAGAGAGGAGACCGTGCAGGGCCAACTACCATGCCTTATAAATCTCCGCAGGGAAGGGAAGCTCAGCATCTGTCTCCAGCCTCCGGGAGCACCGCTGCACAGGGTCCTGTTGCACCGCTGCACAGGGTGCTGTTGCCCTTGGTCGCAGCCAGCGCCCACGCCTCACACTCCTCATGTGTGTGCATGACGGAACTGTGTCAAGAGTCTGGAGAAAGGGTTTTGCCCAGAGACAGAACTGCACTGTGCTTCCCAAAGGAGCATGATGTTAGTTGTTTCTACCTGAATCGCTGCCTTATCCCCAAACAGAACTTACGTGTTAATGCCTCCGCGCTATAACTTCCCTCTCGTTGCTCCTTCCACGTGAGCCTGGCGTGTGGGTCCACGTGACACCTGCCTGAGCACCGAGAGTCTGCATGGGACCCAGAGTCAATCCTGTGAAATCCTCTTCAAGGGATCTCCGCTCTTACCCGTGTCTCTGCAAACCACACCAACCACAAACCGCCAACTTGTTACCTCCGTGACCCCACTGTCCACTCTCAGCATCTTGAACTCCTTCAGTCCGTGAGAATAAATGCTGGACACTGTGCAGAGACTGGCAGTAAAAGTCACTTGCTCCAGGAATCGCAAGGATGCCTGTGCACGAGTCTGGTGGCGCATCACACCCTCAGGCCTACCCAGCGCACATGGGTCACTATTTACCAAAACCAGATAAAGCTCGGCCGCCACCCTACTTGGCCCCTTGTGACTATTCGTTTGCTGATGTGTCATCTCTTCATGCCCCAGGAAGGGGCCAGTGACTCGGACAGTGGGTTCCTGGCCCTCACGCCCTCGGGGGTCCCTCTGAAGCTTGTGTTTAAAGAGGCACTGGAGGTGTGGTTCACAACATGGTAAGTTCCTGGGAAACAGTGGCTTCGCCCTGAGCCTGGGCGCCCCGCACACCCAGTGGCCTCCGCATCTGTCCTTCACCAAGTATGTCCGCAGGGAACCTCACATCAGACGCTGCTGTGGACTGGTCCCCACACGACGTCCCCAGCTTCTAGTCGTGCCCCTTCACAAGCTCCCAGACACCTGCTGTCATTGGTAACACCTGCTTCATGCTCACATTCTCCCTGTGTCCCTCGCGCTCTTGCCCTCCGCAGCCGGGCGGTATCGTGAGAAGCCCATTCCTCACAGCCTACTCCAGCTGCCCAGCCTGGCCCAGGTGTCCGTGCCCCTTCTCCTCCCACACTCCTGTGCTCCCTAATCACGACCTCTCCGAGAGAATGCCTCAGCCGCTGGGCTCCCCACCGACGTGACTTCACGCCCACGCTCCTGCCTTCTCCCCTACAGGACCTCATGCTCCCCCCACCACAGCCCCATACCCCAGAGACTAAGAATGCCTCCCTCTTCACCAGCGATGCCTGCCGGGGTCTCCAGTCTGGCCACGGCGCCACGTGTCCCGCTAAGCAGCTGCCCACCCCCCACACCCAGGCAGGACAGTGGGGCTGGAGAAGAACAATGTCTGGCTGAGGAGTCTCACACCACACTCATGGCCGCTATTCTCGGGTGGGCTCTTGGGGCATCAGGAGGCGTTTTTGTCCACGCTCCCGAAGGGGACCTTCCTCCTGGTCGTCTCCCCTCAGATGAACCCCCAGCGTCGCCTCCTCTTCCCACTGCTGGTCCTTGTGGGTCACAGGGCGTGATTCACTGGAAATAAGACTGCCTGCACCACCATCGTGACCCGTGTCACAGTGCTTAGTGGCCCTGCCTCCCCTCTCT